TCTCTCCCTTCAACTTCACGGCGATCGGTGGCAACCTGGCAGGGGCTCCGGCGTTGATGGTGAGTGTCGTGGTGGGGTTTAAGGAGAGCCAGGGATGGAGAGGACGGTCCGGAGAAAAGCTGGCAGGGGGATCCAGTCTCTCCGAGGCTGCGGTTTGCCAGGTCTGAGATTGCCCAATTTGTGAATTTGGCCTCCCTGGTTCTCTGGTGCTGTTCAACAGGACACACCTGGGGTCCTGCTTCTGGGGGTCCCCTTGAATTCCATCAGCTGTCTCGCAATTAGACCCAGATGTCTTTAATTACAAGACGGCGTTCTAGTGCCTGGATTTTACACCTGTTCCCTGACGGACCGGTGTGATGGGGGAAGTGTTGGAAAAGGAACAACTGCCCAAACCTCCTCTCCTGGGGTTTTTATTCCGAAGCAAGGTGTCTTTTCACTCCTAGGCTGGGTTTTCGATCGAGAGAAGGGGAGGCTGCTGCGGGAGGGAGGGGAGACGAGAAATACAGCGGGGTTTGGTTTTCCTGCGTGGTGCTGTCGCCGTGAACGGGGCTTCGGGGTGCTGTCGCGACACGGAAGCATAATCAGTTTGTAATTGCTCAGATTCCTCTTGGATGACGCTTTTTGGGGACGGTGGGTGTGTTAGGGTGAAGGTAGAAGGGAGCGGGTCATGGCCCTGACATTTAGCACCGAACTGGGAGACAGGAGATCCTGGCAGACGTGAAAGATGGTCCAAAAAGTCAAAGTATTGGTAAACGGCATCTCTACGTGTGCCACCCCAACGTGCCCATCGAGTACGGGGAGCGCCTGCCTTTGCAGGGTGGGCTTTGGGGAGAGGCTGTAATAACCTGATGAATTTGGGCCAGGATTAATTAATTTATTGTTGCACTGGAAGGAAAAAAAACCCCCACACAAAATTGTCCTGAGCTCTTTAGGCTCAGATTTCATCCTGGCACCAAAGATGGTGTCCTGTCTTGGAGGTGGAAGAGGCTGCGATACGGGAGAGCAACGAGCTTTTCATTGGGGACGTCACATTTTAAAGCCATATCCAAGGCGAAGCGTTTGAACCTGTCACTTTGGTAGAGGAGGAGTGGGGAGAAGGAAGGAAGGGGGTGAAGCGAACGCGGAGCTGGGAAGATTTTGGGGGAAGGGAGGTGCATTCCTTCCACCCCAGGATTTGAGGAAGGTTCTCGGCTTTGGGGATTTGGTGATAAACTCATCCCAGAGCGGAGGAGCCCTGCTGGGAGGGGGCAAGCCCGTGCTGGCAGGTCTGGGTGAGCTCTTTTGGGCGTCCTGCAGTGCATCCACCTCTCCCTCCTCGAGCGTGATGATAAACTTCCCACCGGGCTGCTCAGCGCGATGAACTCCCCCTGCTCGCCCTGGGCCTGGGGCGAAAAGGAGCAGGGCATCAGCGGGTGACTTGAAAAGCTCAGCGGCAGGCGGTACCTGGAATTAAATTTAAGGAGAAAATGGCACTTAATAGGTGGATGTTAATTAGAGCCCCAGTGTTTTATCACCACAGTGCGCTTCCCAGGGGATTAAACGTTGCTCTTGCCAAAACAGCTGGAGAGATCAAGGCAGGTCATGTCCTTGCCGCGTCGGGAGCGGGATTTCCTGGGGACCGGAGCCGGTGCTGCACCGCAGCGGTGCCCAGGCGGCCGGGCGGGCCGTCTCCCATCCTGGCCTGAGTTACATTTCCCAGTTGCTCGGAGATTTTTTGCAGAGTGTGGTTTAGTGGTCTCACCGTTTGGAGCCGAAGGATTAAGGGGGGCGGCCAG